TCCTTGGACAAAAATAGAAAAAAGCCTTGAAGACTTTAAACAAGTGAGAGGATCACATCGCTCACTTGCTTAAAGTCTTCAAGGCTTTTTTCTCTACTGCCTAAGGAATAAAACTCAAGACTCTTCATGTTCTGTCTTTTCCAGCCTCATTTTTCTCTAATCTCCTGTTGGGTTCCATGCTCTGAGCACCCTGTTCCCCAACTTACTACACTTGTTCTCACACCATGCTTTCATTTGTGGAGTTAGTGCCTTCTGTGGGCTCTCAAAACCCCTAAATTCCCTGTGTTGGTCCTGCCTTACCTCACTATGTATTCCTCACTTTTTTCTTACTTATATCACAACTAGACTGCAAGCTAGCTGAAGGCAGGGACAATGCTTCTCTCTCTTTTTTTTTTTTCTAGTTTGGACAGATCTTGCCACAAAACATGTACTCAGGAAAGACTGGTTGAGTTAATGAAGAAAGGAATGAAGGAAGAAAGAAATGAATGAATCAGTCTAGTTTCTCTTCCTGTTGGCTCATCTGCTACAACCCATTCATCCTTCCTTCCAGGCACCCAGCTCAGACATCAGGCACTCTGAGAATCCTTCCTGCTGCGGCACCCTGCACCTTTCCCTGAACTTCCCACAGCACTTGGCACGTGGCACCATAGAGCACCTGGGGCATTGGACTTATTTGTCTAGCCAGTTGTTCTGTATTATTCATCTTTGTATGCCCCAGACCATGGCTGGCCATGTACCTGGTGTCACATCTTATAGGGAATGCCTAAAGCCACTGAGAATCTGTAGCCTAGAGAAAGGGAAACATAATTCTTTTATTAGGAAGAGAAAAAAAAAAAAAAAGATTGTCTTTCAGCCTGGTGGTGCCGTGCTCGCTTGCATCTGTGAGCGGTAGCACTAGATGGCCTCAACAGGCTCGCTAACTCTTGAGATTTTGTGGTTCCCAGCTCTGGAATTTAATTTGCTGTGTTACTTCATTGATAGTCTTGTTTCTGGGCTAAATAGCCCCAGAGAAAGGTGGGGAGGAAGTGTGGCCCTTTGCTGAAGTGGATTGTGGCAGAGGATGAGGAATATGGTCACCCTCTGAGGCAGCAGAGAGGTCAAGGGAGAATTTTCTAATCTCTCCATGCCTTATGGAGGGAAGGTATCCCTGACCATGGCATCCCTTAGGGTGTAAGAGAGGTATTCTCACACCCTGTCCCTTCTGGCCCCTGGCTCTCTCCAAAGCCAATCTGATTCAGGGAGCCACGGCTGCTGTACCACAAGACCTTTTTCTCCTTCCTTTTGGGGAATAGAGATTCAACTTTCTGCCGATGCCACAATTAATCCTGGTTCAGGGAAGGTCTGAATTCTTGCGGAGATCTAGCAGGAGGTCATCACTGTGGGCAGAAGAGGGTCATAGCAAAGATTCAATGTCTACAGGCTTCAGCTGCATGGCCACTTCGCCCTGGGACATGGAAAAAGAGAGGAGGCCAGAGAGGAGCAATCTGCAGAGCCACTCTGCTGGCATTCTGCAGGCGGGACAACAGCTTTCCAGGAAATCTGTGGTCAGCATAGCAAGACCCTGGCCTGGCAGCAGCTTTCAGGACGTCAGTACAGGTTCAGAGGACGCGGTACCTTGTTTCTGAACACCTGACTTCCTGGAAAGTACATACAGGAGGCGGTTCTGTCTGCATAGAGCCCGCTTGGGTCTGCTCAGGTATCTACAGGTCAGAACTCTGAAAGCGGGGCAAGAACCAGGCTGGCCAAAAGAAGGCATTTCTAGGATTGTTTTCTAAGAACAGCCATGATAAGATAACCACATTCAAGTTTTCTGTTTCATTCCCTCTATCAAAGGGACAAAGTTTGTAAGTGCTGCTCTGACCTGTACAACCATTCAAGAGGACACTTGACACCATTTGGATGTCACTCTGAAATGCTCCCCTCACTTGACTCTCCCTACCTGTTTTTCTAACACCCGGTCCCTCCCACTGTACTTTCTCCTCTCACTACCAGAATTTCAAAAAGCAATTCGATTCACAACAAACCAGTAAAACCCTTAAGCTTTGTCTTTGAGTGACTTTGGTCCCCTGCTGGTCCACACAGCTTGTGGCAGCAACTGACCATGATTCACTCGGACAAGGACTGGCCCAACCCACAACGGACACTGGGCTGGAGCTGGCCTGTGTGAAGGCGGAGATTGCCACCCTCCCCTGTCACTTCAAGGGTGCAGCTGTTCTCGGAATAAACCAAGATCTGACGGGCTGTATTTTGAAAAGCATTTGATAACAGTGTTGTCATAGAAAGCACCTGCCTGGGAGTTCCTTGGACCTTTAAAAACATCTGTTTATTTAGCACAGTTCCTGTCACACAGGATCCATCCAATAAACATTTGGTGGATATCTGTTGAATTGTTCTATGGACAAGAATTTAGTGAACACCCAGAATTTGTTCTAGACATCCAGGGAGAAATAAAAAGGAATAGTGGCAATTCCGGTCTTTAATAATTCTACAACTCAATGGCGAAAAGACTTACACATTGGAAGAGTAAAATCCCCCCATGCGGCAGTCTGTGACCACGGCACATCTGTGTACCGCAGTCCTGCCAGACTCCAGGGCTTAGAAAATCTCTGCTTTGCTCAGCTTTTCACACTGACTAGGGTCCTACCCAAGGTGCCAATGGACCATCCGTGAGAACCTATGTAGAAACAATGAGTTTGCTCTGTGAAAGGAGACAGCCCCACATATCCCCCTCTAAATGTTAAAGTTCTCTTTGCTCTAATTTGGTGAAAAGCATTTTGTAAGTATTGAAGATGGCGTCACATAGAAGGATTACAGAGGACACGTTAGCAATGCTTATAATGTAATGCTCATAAATTTGGCAATAAACATAATGACAGTAATGGGATTGGAATTGATGTGATGAGGGTTTTTGCTGCTTTGCTAATGAGGAATCAGTAAGGAATGAAGATTGCCAAGGGTCACACACACACACCACACGCACACACGCCACCCCACACATTTTCTTTATCCACTCACCACTTGATATACACTTAGGTTGATTCCCTATCTTTGCAATTGTGAAATGTGCTATTATAAATATACATGTGCAGGTGTCTTTTTGATATCATGACTTCTCCTTTAGGTAGATACCCAGTAGGGACTGCTGGACTGAACGGCAGATCTACTTTAGTTCTTTGAGAAATCTCTGTACTGTTTCCTACAGAAGTTGTAATGATTTCCATTGCCCTCCATAGTACATAAGCATCCCCTTTTCAGCACATCCGCACTGACATCTACTGATTTTTTGATATTTTAATAATGGTTATTCGGATTGGGGTAAGGTGGTATCTCATCATGGTTTTAATGTGCATTTCCCTGATTATTAGAAAGTCAAGCATTTTTCATGTTATTTGGCCGTTTGTATATCTTCTTTTGAAAATCTTTGTTCACGTCATTTGCCACTTTGTAACGGGATTTCTTTCTGTTTTTGTTTTACCTTGCTGATTTGAGTTCCTTGTGGTTTTTGGATATTAGTCCTCTGTCAGATGTAGAGTTTGCCAATACTTTCTCCCATCCTGTAGGTTATCTGTTTACTCTGTTGATGATTTATGCTCCTGCGCAGAAGCTTTTTAGTTGAATCATATTCCATGTTCTGAATTTTGGTTTTGTTTTGTTGCATTTGCTTTTAGGGTCTTAGTCATAAATTCTTTGCATAGGCCAATGTCCAGAGAGGTTTTCCTAGATTTTCTTCAAGAATTTTTATGGTTTCAGGTCTTAAATTTAAGTCTCTTATTTAGCTTGAGTCAACTTTTGTATGTGGTTAGAGATAGGGATCCAGTTTCCTTATTCTTTATATGGCAACAGAATTTTCCTAGCACCATTTCTTAAATAGTATGTGTTTTTGTCTTCTTTGTTGGTCTTTGTCAAATGTCAACAAATCCAAAAACACATACCGGTTGTTGGTTGTATTTGACTTTATTTCTGTGTTCTCTATTCTATTCCATTGGTCTATATGTCTACCTTTATAGCATACCATGTTGTTTTGGTTGCTATATCCTTGTAATATTATTTGAAGTTGGGTAATGTGATGCCTCTAGATTGGTTCTTTTTATCTAGGATTGCTTTGGCCATTCCAGTTCTTTTTTGATTCCATATACATTTTAGGATTACTTTTTCTAATTCTGTGAAAAATGATATTGGTAGTTTGATAGGAATTACATTAAATCTGTAGATTGCTTTGAGCAGCATGGTCATTTTCATAATATTGTTTCAATTTATGAGCACGAGACGTTTTTCCATTTGTTTGTATCATTTATGATTTCTTTTCTTTTCTTTTCTTTTTGGGACATAGTTTCATTCTGTCACCCAGGCTGGAGTGCAATGGCATGATCTCGGCTCACTGCAAGCTCTACCTCCCAGGTTCAAGCGATTCTTGTGCCTCAGCCTCCAAGTAGGTGGGATTACAGGCACCTGCCACCATGCCCAGGTAATTTTTATATTTTTAGTAGAGACAGGGTTTTACCATGTTGGCCAGGCTGGTCTCCAACTCCTCAGGTGATCCACCTGCCTCAGCCTCCCAAAGTGCTGGGATTACAGGTGTGAGGACCCACACCCAGCCATTTATGATTTATTTCATCAGTGTTTAGTAGTTCTCCTTGTAGAGGTCTTTCACCTCCTTGGTTAAGTATATTTCTAAGTTCATGTTTGTGTTTAGGGTTTGTTTTTTGTTCCTGTTTTTGCAGTTATTGTAAGTGGGATTGAGTTCTTTGATTCTCAACTTGGTCTTTAATGGTGCATATCAGTACCACTGATTTGCATACTCTGATTTTGTAACCCGAGACTTTACTAAATTCATCTATCAAATCAAGGAGTGTTTTGAAAGAGTCTTTAGGGTTTTCTAGGTATAAGACCACATCATTGGCAGAGATTGTTTGACTTCCTTTTTTCTGCTGAGATGCCCCTCCTCCCCACCGCCCGACCTATTTTTCTCTTGCCTAATTGCTCTGGCTAGGACTTCCTACCTTGTCCATCTTTCCTACGTACAGGTGGGGTCCTTGTGGAGACAGGCAGAAGTACAACAGCTTTCTTCTCTTGTTTTTCCACACCTTGTTTCCCTTCGCCAGACTTCTGCAAACAATAGAAATGAAGGAACTGGAGGTTATCTTAGCCTGTAAATTCTCTGGCCCAGTTGGAGTCTACCAATGTGCCCCATTGCCCTTCTGTTCATAGACTTCATGTGGTGAGGGACACAGCCACTCTGGTTTTCCGGTGTAACTCCTGCAGCTGGCACAGCACAGGCATACTGTAAGTCCTCAATAACTATGTGAATTAATTATACATAATCTGGTCTTCAGAGATTCCCACTTCCACCAAACCAGCAGAATACCTCTTGCCTAATTCCACAGGTCTAAAAACATGGGGCGCAGATGTCCTTTCCTGATTCTCTTCCCCCGTCTTCTACCTCCTTCCCAGTCCATAAGGAATTCTAGCCTAATCCCCCTTGCAGAACAAATCTCTGCTAAAGGTAGAATTTCCTTTGAGGTTGCAAGGAAAAATTTCAATATCAGCTGAAAATAAGCCCCCAATGTCCTTTGTGCTTTCCATTTTTGGACTTTTAGACTTGATCATTTTCAGACCCAGAAATCTATCATTTCATCTCTTTTCAAGTTGGTAATTTTCAGGCGAGTGTTGTGTGTTTCGGGGAGCAGGGGAACCGGGGCAGAAATCATTTGAAAGTGGTCTTTGGCACCTCCTTGATTTTTGAACGTCTTTGATTTCTCAGCTGATAGAACTGAAGTTGTCTCCCCAAGTATCATTAGCCTTTACCCCAGCTCCAAACATGTCAGGTGACTGTGGGAAGGAGCTGAGGCATGAGAGCAGGCACAGACATCCTGCTGGACCATGCCTGCCCCGGGATCCATGCAGCCCACAGCCCGCTGTGCCTGTCACCCAACCCCACCCAACTACATTCTTCCTGCATCGCAGTCGCCTGCAAGACAATACCTCCACTGCTGGCCTCTAGCTTCTCTGACGCACAAAGAATGTCTGGCTCTATAAACATTCACCCAGTGATTATAGGATTAACTGTAACCTGCAGTAAAGGGAAGCAGCGTTTAAACAAAGGTTTTGCTATGCTGTCTTGGAAGGGAAAATAAAATATAAAGCAAACAACATATTATTCATTAATGGGTACTTTAGGCTTTGGGTTACAGCAGTTCAGTTATCAGTGAGAATTTCCTCTTGCACAGAGGTAATCCAGTTCAGGCTGTTGTGCTCCTATCTCTCCTTCTCTCCACAGGCTCCACCTTTAATTGCAGTTGCCATGACAGTGAGATTGTTGCAAGAAAGCAAGAAAGATTGTGCATGTACTAGGAAAGTGTTTATGAAAATTCACATTTTTCTTTTTTCTCTGCTAGAAAGAAAAAAGGAATGGTGAAAGAGAAGCACTTTTGTGTTCCTGAGCATCTGTTCTGTGCCAGGCACAAAGCTAGGTTTAATGTATGTATGGCGTTAAATGTGTGTGTGTAAAAGCTTTTTTTATTGTGAACCATATAACTCACCTACCAAAGACTGAACAAAACAAAAATGTCAAGCTCCGTGGTTTATCACCAAGCAAACACCCAGGTAAAATCAAGAACTAGACTTACCAGAATCCTAGACGTGGCCCTTGTGATGCCTTTCAGTTATTCCCTCCTCCTCCCCCTTCAAAGGAAAAACTGCCCTGACTTTTGCAGAAGCCACTTGTTTGCTTGTCTTTGTAGTTTTACCACCCGTGTGTCAATCCTAAACACTAGAGTTTAATCATTGTCATTTGTCTTGTTGTTGTTGTTGTTGCTGCTGAGACAGAATCTCACTCTGTCACCCAGAGTGGAGTGCAGTGGTGCGATCTCGGCTCACTGCAACCTCCACCTCCCAGGTTCAAGTGATTCTCGTGCCTCAGCCACCCAAGTAGCTGATATTACAGGCGTGCACCACTACACCTGGCTAATTTTTGTATTTTTAGTAGAGATGGGGTTTCACCATGTTGGTCAGGCTGGTCTCAAAGTCCTGACCTCAAATGATCCTCCCGCCTTAGCCTCTCAAAGTGCTGGGATTACAGAGGTTGCAGTGAGCTACCCATGCCCAGACTAATGAGTTTTGATATCCAGTAGAGCACGTCCTCCCAGTTTGTTTATTCAAGAATGTCTTGGTTATGTGTATCCCTTTGCATATCCATAAAAACTTTAGAATCAGCTTGTCAATTTCCACAAAAATTTTAAAAAAACTATTGTTATTTTCTTTCTTTTTTTGGTTGTGGCAGGGAGATTGCACTGAGTCTATAGATTGATTTGGGGGGAAATGATGTTTTCACATTTTTTATTCTAATTTCCATCGTGATTTCTTTGAATTTTCAAGCATATGAGGATTTTTTAAATTATCTCTTTGTCACTTTTTCCCGGGAAATACTTGGTATTACTTAAATATTTTGCAATTTATTGAGACTTACTTTATGACCTACCATATGGCAAATTTCTGTGAATTTTCCTTGTGTGTTTGGGGAAAAAAAAAGTATAGCTTGCAATTATAGTGTGAATGTCTTGTAAGGTCCTTTAGGTCAAGTATATTTGATTGTGTTGTTCAAATCTATGTGATTAATAATTTTTATCTGCTAGTTTTATCATTTGCTGTGAGAAGTATGTTAAAAGTCTACCACCTGTGATAGTGAATTTGTTTTTCTGTTTTCTTCTGTATATTTTGAGGCTATGTTAGCAGTATGTAGAAAATTAGAATTATATTTTCCTGTTGAATTCAACCTTATCATAATGAAGTGGGTCTTATCCCCATCAGTGCCTTTTTATTGTACATATTTAAGTTTTATACCATGCTTATGTATATATGCCTTGATATACATATCCATAGTGAAATGATCACTTATAGTTAAGCAAATTAATCTATCTATCACCTTCTATAGTTGTGTGTGTGTTGGGGTCGGGGGGCTAAAATCTACTCTTAGCAAATTTGTAGTCTATAATGTCATTAACTAGTCCTCATGCTGTACATCATATTTCTAGACTTGTTCATCCAACATAACTGCAGGCTTGTGCCCTTTGACCTACTTCCCTGGGAAAAAGAGAGACACCCTGCCTCAAAACAAAATGAAACAAAATAACTTAAAAAAATCTTCATTCTTGATAGATTTTTAGATTTTGATCATAACATTTTAGATGAGCAGCGTTTTTATTTCAGCCTTTTAAAGATGTGATTTCACTGCCTCTTGGCTTCCATTGCCGAGAAGTCAGCTCTAAGTCTTACTGTTGCTCTCTTGAAAGTAATTTGTCTCCTTTTCTCTAGTTGTCTTTCATGGACTTTGAAAATTTCTCAGCCACTACTTCAGATTTGCTTCCATTATTTCTTTCCTTGGCCCGCTGATACTCTAACTCCAAGTATATTAGATCTTCTCACTAGTCATCTCTTGCAGACTTTCCATTCTTTTCCTCTTCATGCTTTATTCTGTGATTGTCTTCTGAGCTATCTTCCACTTCACAAATTTTCTCTTCAGTTGGGTCTTAATATTTACTAAACTTATTCATTGAGTTCTTAATTTTGATTACTATATATTTTTTAATTCTAGAACTTCTGTCTCTTTTATGCAGTTTCTAGCTTGCTGTCTAAATCCTCAATCATTTACTTTCTTGAAAAAAATAACAGCACATGTTATATATCTTCTGTTCACCTCTGTGGCTCTATCTTTACCCTCTCCACTCTGCTGTCTCTCCAGGAAACTGATCTGCATGGACTGTATCAATGAATTGTCTTGTCTTCTAGCTTCTAGCTGTGTTTGGCTAAAGGAAAGTACCAGTAGGACCAGAGGGAAGGAGGAAAGTGAGATTCAGTACTGATCCACCTGATCTCTTCCTGTGGGGTCACTGTGGGCTGGCCACATTCCCTGACCATAGATTCTCTGTCTTTAGATTCTGATAGCTCCTCCCTCCCTGCAACTCTTCAAGCCTACAGGTGGTAGAGCCTTCTCCTTGTTAATAGTCCCAGCAATTAATACATTTCTTTGTTAAAGAATAATATTATCCCTCACATTATCATAGTTTGATGGTTTCGTCTGTGCCTAGTTGGAAACCTGACTGACACAACATGTTTATATCATAAAATGTTTTTGGCCTTTCGGCCAGAACCGAAAATCTTCCAGTAATTTGGCGAATCTTCCAGTAATTCGCCAAAATGACGAACACAAAGGGAAAGAGAAAAGGCACTCAATATATGTTCTCTACCTTTTAGAAAACATGGAGCTGTTTCTTTGGCCACACATATGCAAATCTATAAGAAAGGTGATAATGTAGACATCATGGGAATGGGTGCTGTTCAAAAAGGAATGCCCTACAAATGTTATCATGGCAAAACTGGAAGAGTCTACAATGTTACCCAGCATGCTGTTGGCATTGTTGTAAACAAACAAGTTAAGGGCAAGATTCTTGCCAAGAGAATTAATGTGCGTATTGAGCACATCAAGCACTCTAAGAGCTGAGATCGCTTCCTGAAATGTTTGAAGGAAAATGATCAGAAAAAGAAAGAAGCCAAAGAGAAAGGTACCTGGGTTCAACTGAAGTGCCAGCCTGCTCCACCCAGAGAAGCACAGTTCGTGAGAACCAATGGGGAGGAGCCTGAGCTGCTGGAACCTATTCCCTATGAATTCATGGCATAATAGGTGTTAAAAAAGAATAAATAAAAGACCTCTGGACTGTTAAAAAAAAGTTTTTGGTTATTTAAATAGTTAGACTCTATGTGGATCTGTAAAACTTCATGTGGGTCTGTTTCTACTGTCCTTGTTTCTTCTATTTTGTTAGTAATAGTTTCTGTTTCATGTGGCTATTTTTTATTTTTATGTGTTTATTTTTTTGAGACTGGATTATGAGAATGGCTAATTTTTATAATTTTGGTAGAGATGGGGTTTTGCCATGTTGCCCAGGCTGGTCCCAAAGTGCTAACTTCAAGTGATTTCCCCACCTTGGCCTCCCAAAGTGCTGGGATTGTAGGCATGAGCCTGCCTTCACGTGGCTATATTTAAATTATGTGCTAATAGTTGTATGTGCAAAATTGCTTCTAGAAATGTATTCTTCATTGAGAAAGGACTTACA